CAGTGTGGAGACCCCGCATGGGGGCAGAGAGGGAGGGAGGTGCCCAGGCTGCCCTCCGACTTACCTGTCGTGGCCTGCTCCCCAGGACTGGCACCCTCACCTGTGGAGAGAAAGGCAGAGGGGTCAAAGGAGGAGAAGCTTGGAGAAGGGAGCACACTCGCACCTGCCCCCCCAAGCATCCCCTCCCCAAATTCCCCACCCAAAGCACCCCCTCCCCAAATTCCCCACTCAAAGCACCCCCTCCAGGAGAGATCGAAAAAGGACACCACCCCACCACCCCAGTCAGGTCCAGCTTTTCAAGACTGATGGAAACAGCTTCTGTGTTGCAGCCGGGGGCTGAAGACCCCTTCATGGAGATCAACTGAGATCCACTGTGGGCAGCTTCCTTCCCCCCCCCCCATCTTGATAGCTTTGGCCCCAATGGAACTGCCCTTCCTGGGGCGTCTCTTACTTTCTCCAGAGGCCTCCGATTTGCCTGCGATGGGGGGCTCAGAATTTGCCACAGGCTCTGAAGGAGGGGAGAGAAAAAGGCTGGGGTCCCCCACTGGACATTTCCCCCTTAACTGTTGCAGTGGGTCAGGAGCTGCTTTTTGCTTCTTGCTTCCCCCCCCCCCCCCCAGCGTCTGGCAGGTCTCAGCAATCAAGCAGCCCAGGAATCCATCAACTGCCCACGGGTGGGGGGGGGGGGAAACCCTTCAGGCTCCAGGAAGAGGGGGCCCCCCCACAGTATACCTGGGGTCTGACTGCCGCCTGGGGAGGTGGGGTCTGGCGAGCTGAGGGGCTCTGCAAAAAGAGGGACAGGGGGAGGCAGGTGGACCAAACGCCTGGGACCAGAGAGGAAGAAGTGGGGCTTGGAATCCCCTGTGGGGTGAGAAGGGGGGGGACCTCCCTGCCTCCCTTAAAGGGGGGGCTGTAGCGAAGCGGCTGCCCCGGGGGGGGCTCAGGGGCCGCTGGAGACGGAGCTGCCCCCCAGGAGACGGCAGCCTTTCCAGCGCGGCAGGGCAGTCTCCCCGCGCCCGTGGGACGCTGCCTGGGGGAGCAGCCCCTGCCCCGCGGAGAGTCTCGGGGAGGCCGCCGGAGCCGCTTCCAGGCAGCGACCGGCGCATCTCACCATCCGCGGCCACCAGGAGCAGAAGCGCGGCTGCCGCCAGGGCCAGGAACCTGCAGCGAGGGAGAAGCGGCCGCGCGTCAGGGCGGGTGGAGCGGAGCACGGGTGGGCAGCACAGGCGCCCGGCCCGGCCTCGGGGCTCCCTGCCAGGCGGAGGAGCCACACCGGCGGCTCGGGGGCCTCTTGAAGGCGTCCCTCGAAGCTTCCCCGAGGGTCCCGCGGGGAGCCCCGCAGCCTCGCTCGCTCTCCGGACTAGCTGGAGGCGGCTTTCCGAGCGCTGCCCCCGGCGGCCCCTCCGCTGCCCCAGGCAGGCTGCCCCCCAGGCGCCCCCCCCAGACGCCCACCTGTGCTGCGCCCGCATGATGCCGGTGGGCCGAAGGGCCGGCGGAGAGCCCTATATGGGCCTCGGGGGCAGGGAGGAGCCAGGCCGGGGCGGGGGGGGCAGCCAATCCCTGGCTGGCAAAGGGGGGGCGAAGCGGCGAGCCCACCGCGGCCCTCCCCAAAGCGTGGGGCGGTCGGGCGCCGAGTCGGCTTTTCCCCAGCGCCGGTCCCTCGAGTGGCCTTCCCGGACGAGGATCGCAAAGAGGAACCGTCGCTACGAAATCCGGTGGTCCTCACTTAGCCGGAGGGTCCCTGGCGGGACTCGGGGAAGCCCCATGCTCCCCAGCCGGCCCGACCGACGCCTGGCCGATACGGCAAATGTCCTCCGCCTCCTTCGGAGCAGCTGGGCCCGTGGAAGGGTCGGCCGCGGGGGCGGGGGGGGGTCCCCAGGGCTTGCCTGCCCAAGACCGGACCTCTGGACCTCAGCTCGAGCACCCCCATCCTCTGCAGCCGAAGCATCCCCCAGTTGTTCGGTGTCTTGCATTTGTAAATCATGGTTTACACTTCGGCCGCCTCCTCAAACCATAGTCAAGCAATCGGGGTGGTGCTGAGTGGTGTCCCCCAGAAAGTGGGCCGGGAGGAGGAACCGGGAGAACAAAGCGCCTCTGTGTCGGTCCGGCTCTCAAGCGGCTTCAGTCCAGGCGGGGCGGCCTCTCCTACCCCGCCGGCCCACCTGCGCGCGGGTCCCGGGCCAGGATCGGATCCGCGCAGCAAAGGAAGGAGCGGGGCATCCTTTCTGGCGCTGGACCGAGGCGGCAGCTCCGGCCCCGGGGGACGGGGGTATCGCCTCGTTCTCTCTTCCGTGCCCAGGTCCTCCCCCCGGGGCCGTTCCTGCTCATCCGTCCAGCCAACCCCCCACCCCCCGACCCGTGTTTTGGCCTGGCCTCTTAGCCAGCCCGGCCCCGGCTTGGCTCCTGCTCTGGCCTGGGCAGGCCGGCCGGTCTCAGCCGGGTAACTCGCACTCATTTCCCCGACGGAAGGCCGGGCGGTTCTGGTGCTCTTTGGACACCTCAAGGAGGCCCCGCGGAGGCCGATCGGCGTCCCCCGCTGGGGCATCTGCCCGGGACCAGCCGGCTCTGGAGGGAGCCGTGTCTCCCCGGGACCCTTCGGGGGAGCCCTCTGGGGTCTCGGGGCCAAAGGGCGGCGAGCAGCCCGGGCACAGAGCGCACAGACCTGGGCCAGGCCGGGCCAGCAGGGTGGGCGGCGGGGGGGGGAGGCCCACCTCGTGCCAGCTCTGTCCCGAGCAGCGCCGCTGCGGCAGCCGACCTGCTGGCGGCCCCCGGGTGCGGCAGGTGGGGGCGGGCGGGGGTCAGCCAAGCGGCAGTGGGGGCCGAGGCGGGAACCCCCCCCGCCCCGCCCCGCCCCGCCCCGCCGGCCCCGCAGAACAAGGAGGCCTTTGCCGAGCTCAATGCGCCTTTGTCTGACTTGAAAGGCTCCCTCGGGGCGGAGGGGGCTCACCTGCCCGACGCCGCCGCCGTAATGAGGGGCCGGCCAGGCACCTGCCCGCCCCCCCCCCCGAGCCCAGGAGCTGCGGGCCCGAAAAGCGGAGGCGGGGGGGGGCTCCCAATCGCTGCGTCACGCGGGCGGGCTGGAGGGGGCGAGTCATGCCCGAGACGGGGGCTTGGAAGGGGGGGGGAATCACGCGAGGGGCAGCTCTCCCCCCGCTCTGCTCTCTTGGCCTGAGCCTGCCCCCCCAGCGGAGCTCTGCCCGACAAGTGAAGGGGGAGCCCAGGGCTGGGGGGGGGTCATTGGAGGGCGCTACGCGGGGGGATCCGGCGAGTCCCCCCCTCCTGCAGACTGCGACGAAGCTGCCTGGGACCTTCCCTCCGAACTGCCCGCTGGGGTCCCGGGGCAGCCAGCTGGCGACTTGACCCTGTAGCGATGTCCGGCCGTCGGAGGGTCAGCTGGAGGGGGAGAGTCCGGGGGCGCCAGGAGGGGGATGGGGCTCCCGGCTCCCTTTTTTCCCTCCGGGGGTTTCGGCAGCCTGATCAGCTGGGCTGATGGCCCACTTGCCTTAGATGGGCCCGTTGCCCCCCCCCCTCACTGCCCCCCCCCCGCCTCTGGGAAGCTGAACCGGCTCCCGGTTCTTTGGCGGGCCCTGCTGCCCCCTGGAGGCCCTGGGCAGCACTGCAGCTCAATCAAGGTCCTGGGCCGACGACTCCTCAACCCCCAAATACTTGCTAGAGTCGACCCTCAGGACTGCCCCCCCCTTTGGAAAGCAAATGGGGCTGGGGTGGCAGTAGCCCTTCCTGGGTGGGAGAGGAGTGGGCACTTTTTTCTCCTGGTTGGGACTGTGGCTTGGAACCCCGAATCTTCCCTGCAAATTTGGAAGTCTGCTTGAGCTGAATCAGGGTGAAAGTTGTGCTGGCTACTGAGTGTTGGACAGTGAACAGATTACCTTTGACCAGGGGAGGGGGGCATCCTTGGCAGCAATAGCAGAGAAGCGGGGGGGGGGGTCCCAGCTGTCTTTTGGGAAGGTTTTTGACTTCCCAGCCTGGCCTGTAGCCCCCTGACACATCAGTGGAGGTTTTGCTCATTCTGACTGCTGCACAGAAATGGCCCCCCACCCACAAAGATGTAATTGTAAATCTGATGCCATTCTGCTGCTCTGGAAAAGGACACACACACCCCTTTGCTCTTCTAAAAGAAAGCAGAGAACACCTGGACATCTTTAGAAAGACCTGCCAACCTCATATAATTTGCTGCAGAATAAAATTGAGTGCCACACAAGCGATCAGCTGGGTATAGAAAAGGGACAGCAATAAAGGGGAGACCCCCCCGTTGCCAGCCCACTTCCCACCCCAGCTGACCTGAAGCACAATCTCGGGTGATTATTTGTGTGTGTGTGTGTCTGTGTGTGTGGCATAGAATCAAAATCACACGAGATATTAGTACTGCTTTATAAAGTCTTAGTAAGGCCATATCTGGAGTGCTGCATCTAGTTTGGTCATCACATTACAAAAAAGATGCTGAGACTCTGGAGAAAGTGCAGAGAAGAGCGACTAGGACGATTAAAGGCCTGGAGACTAAAACATATGAAAAACGATTGTGGGATTTGGGTATAGTCAGTCTAGAGAAAAGAAGGACTAGGGGGGACATGATAGCAGTGTTCCAGTATTTGAGGGGCTGCCCCAAAGAAGAGGGGGTGAACTTATTTTCCAGAGCACCAGAAGGCAGGATAAGAAGCAATAGATGGAAACTGATCAATGAGAGAAGCAACCTGGAATTAAGGAGAAACTTCCTAACAGTGAGAACAATTAGCCAGTGGAACAGCTTGCCACCAGAAGTTGTAGATGCTCCATCACTGGGGGTTTTCAAGAAGAGACTGGACAGCCTCCTATCTGAAAGGGTATAAGATTTCCTGCTTGGGCAGGGGGTTGGACTAGATGACCTCCAAAGTCCCTTCCAGCTCTATTCTGATTGACTAGGACTGGGGAGGGGGCTCTTGGCAGCTTTCATGGCAAGGCCGGGAACAACAGCCCCCATGGTGTTGGGCCCGTCCAGGGTGCCATTAGCTGGGGCAGCTGGAGTTGCAGGGGTCTCCCGAGTGGAAGAAGCCGTAGACGCTGACCAGAGGGAAAATGATGAGAGCCCCCACCATGGAGCCCAGCTGGACCACTGCCCCACACCAGACCAGGGCGCTGCGTCCCTCGTCGCGCAGAATCTTCCCAATCATCAGTTTGACGTAAGAGAAGACGCCGATGAAGAGGACCCAAGAGAGGACCTGAACAAAAAAGGAGTGAAGCAGTCAAGTCTTTGGTGTCTCCCTGGTACCACAGCCTGCCCCACCCCAGAGGGGCACAAGGGGGCCACATTCCCCACCTCCCGTGCTTGGAGGGGTGCCGGGACAGTGCTAGGGAGGATGCCAGCTTGACTCTGCGGGGGGGGGCAGGTTCAGGCACTCCCCCCTCTATGTAGCCATGACTCCACGGACAGAGGTGCAGGCATTCCTGCCTCCTTGGGCAGCCGTCTGAAGGAGGGGAGGGCCTCCAGCCTGGCTCCCCCCCCAGCCCTTCAGACACAGCCTGCTCTCCTCAGTTGTAAGGGGTCTCCTCCTGCCCCTTGAATTGCTCTGACTCCTAGGGGGCTGGTCCCAAAACAGACTAAGCTCGGTTATAGGGGCCAAGGTGTTTCAGAGTTGTCGTTGTGAGATGCAGCCTTGTGTGTCCAACTGGAAGCTGCCTAACAGCATGCCGAAGGAGGGGGGGGCACCTCTCACTGGCTGTTCACTTGGCCAAAAAGGTTTTCTGAATAAGCCGCAACTAGCCGAGCTCAACCCATTCACTGTCACACGCCACAGTGGCTGCGTTCACACAACGCACCAAAGCAAAAAAGCCGCACTGTAGTTTCAATGGGCCCGGTCACTTTGGCCAGGGCAGGGACAGTGACCGACTGGGCAGGCTTGGCTCAGGCACCGCCACTGAATGGATGCTCCCTGAGACCCTCCCCCCGCTGACCCTCCCCCCCACAGCCTTGGGGTGGGGTGGGGGCTCCGTTCCTACTTACGATGAGGAGGACGCCGAGGGGCGAATGCAGCAGGGGGGGGCAGGGGCTGAAGGAAGCCATGCTGACGATGTAACAGGCCAGGAGGGATCCAGCCAAGGAGAGGAGAGCCAGGAGCATCAGGGACCTGAAAGGGGGGGCAGAGGTGGGAAAGGGGGCAGGGATGATGCCCACAACTGCAAAGCCACCTGCCTGCCTGCCAGCCAGGTGCAGCCCCCGGCTCGGTAAGGCCAGGACCCCCCGTGCTCCGAGAGCTAATGGGACATGTCTATTCAGGGCAGAAAGGCCTGGAATCTGGGGGGGGGGGTTTCCATCCTCCAGGGCTGCCACCTCTCACCAGTGCAACATGGAACAAGGCCATCCTCATTCAGATCTACATTTCCCTCTAGGTGCATAAGCCAGGCTCCTGGGAAGGAGGGGGTCCTCCCTCAGCTTCACCCTCCCCTCTGCATAGCTACCCACTTCGGCCTGCTCTGGGAAGAAAAAGCCCATGTGTCACACATACGTACACACAGAGAGAGAGGGAGGGAGGGAGGGAGAGAAGACAGAGAGAGGGGAGAGAGAGGGAGGGAGAGAAAAGAGGGAGGGAGAGTGGGAGGGACGGAGAGGAAAAGGGGGAGACGGAGGAAGAGAAAGGGAGGGAGAGAAGGAGGGAGAGAGAAGAGACGGGGAGACAGAGAAAGAGGGAGGGAATGAGAGGAGAGAGGGAGGGGGAGAGAGAGAAGAAGGAGAGGAAGAGAGAAGAGACAGGGAAGACAGAGACAGAAGAAGGAGAGAAGAGAGGGGGAGAGCGAGCGAGCAAGAGCATTAAAGGATCTGAGAAGCTCCAGGAGTTGATGAGAGACTCTCACTACTGAGACTGGAGGGGTGGGGGGCAGCTGTTGCCTGGGGAGGCTCCCATTGAGCTGGGGGCAGGGAGGGCACTGCCCAGGGGAGGGGGGGCTCCTTTTTCAGGGTCTGGGAGGAGGCTGGGCAGGATGCCACCGAAAACGGGAAGCTGCTTTATTAGGAGCTCCTTTTCTCAAACCAGGACATCTCCCCCACCAGGAGATTCTCTGCCCACACAGGTGGGTTGCCCACCCTGAGTTGCACAGCTGTCCTGAGGGTGCAGCGTTGGCCTTTGGGCATCCAGGTGTTTGGGCTGGATCTACCTGAACAAGGGTCTCAGGGGTCAGGCCAGGTTTGGTAAGGGAGGACACCCCTCTAAGCCCCCTCCCGGCTGTCACTCCTGCCTTCCAGAGGGCTGGCTGGAGACGAGGGCTTTGGGTAAGGGGTGCCCAGCGCAGCTACGCAGGAGGGCAGTGCCAGCTGTGCCAGTGGAAGGAGAGTTTTGGGGCGCACCTCTGTCTCCACTGCTGCAGGGAGGCCATCCACCAAAGAGCTCCTGAACGAAACATCCCCCACCAATTCTCAGGGGCCTGTTAGGTTGCCTGTGTGGGGCCAGTTCCCACCCTGGGACTGGGGTCTCTCTAACATGGCTCCAACCCCCCCCCCGGCTCACCTGCTAGCCAGGAACATCCCAAGGAGGCAGGCGAGCGGGTTGGCCAGGCTGCCCAAGGTGGCCGAGAGGTGGTAGGTGGGGCGGCCGTGGGGCAGGCAGGAGTAGGACTGCAGTGGGGGGAGGAGGCCGTTGGTCAGCGCGTTGGCCCAGCCCATCAGCCCAAAGACGCAGGCCTTCTGGACACGGGAGTAGCCGGTGCCACGGCCGGAGTCGATGGCCCCGAGCATAGGCTGTCCCGTCTCCGTGGCTGGGGCGCTATCCGGGCTCTCTCGCCAGGCACGGTTCCCCTTTGCCCGCCGGGGCAGGTGGTTAAGGACGAGGAAGGCTGCCAGGCTCATGGCCATCATTCCGCTCAGCAAGAGGAAGAAGGTCCGGACGGAGAAGCGGGCCTCCTGGTACTCCACCAGCAGCTCCGACGTGCCGTTGCCCACCAGGCTGCCGTTGACGCAGCGAGCCGCGCCGGCCCCCTGCCCCAGCGCCAGCAGCCCCGGGAGGAGCCCGCTCAGCCCCTCGCCCACGAAGTAGCTGGTGAGGTGCCAAGGCTGCAGCCGGCGCATGTAGGGCAGGAAGGTGACGGAGGAGGTGCAGTCCACCAGGGCCAGGAAGAAGAGCAGCACCATCAGCGCCACGCTGTAGCGGGCGGCGCCCAGCGGCCGGGTCTCCTGCCAGAAGAAGGCCAGCAGCAGGCAAGCCAGGCAGCCCAGGACCAGCAGCCCATAGATGACGCCCACCTCATCCGCCCGCCCCCGGAGGATGCGGTGCGCCAGGGTGAAGGCCAGAGGGCCCAGGTTGGCCACCTGGACGATGATGGTCAGGTAGGTGGGCAGGAGCCAGCCCTCAGGCACCTGGGGCACGATCAGCGGCAGCTCCACCCACACGCCGTTGATGGCCACCCAGGAGCCCGTCCCCAGCAGGCAGACCAGCAGGTGGACTAAGAGGCCCATGCTCCTGAGCGGGCTGTGCTCAGATTGCTGCAGCTTCTGGAACGATAATAGGCGATGGGCGAATCCAGTTGTGGGAAGGCTGTGGGGTGCCGTGGAGTCTCCCTCCCTGCCTCCCTCCTCCTTCAGAGGCTCCGCTGCTCCCGGGGGCTCCTCTCACTGCAGGGAACAAAGGAGAAAGGCAAGAGGGAGGCAGATCAGGCACCTCGGAGGAGGAAACCCAGTTCAGCGAGACGTAAATCCGAGAAACGTGTGCCGGTGCTGTGTCTTTTTTAAAAATAGGCAGGTAGTTCTCTACTTATCACCCACAACTCAGCCCAAAATTTCTAGTTGTTAAGTGAGTTTTGCCCCGTTTCACGACCTTCCCTTGCCACAGCTGTTAAGCGAATCACTGCAGTTCACCCGGTCGTTAAGTGAATCTGGTGTCCCCCCCATCGACTTTGCTTGTCGAAGTGTCGCAAAAGGAGATCACGTGACGCCCCCGGGACACTGCGGCCGTCGTAAATGCAAGCCAGTTGCCAAATTTTGATCACGTGACCGTGGGGATGCTGCAATGGGTCGTAAGTGTGAAAAACGGTCGTAACTCACTTCCCAGCGTGCTGTAACTTTGAATGGTCACTAAACGAATGACTGTAGTTTGAGGACTTCCCGTATCTCTGTGCAGCTCAGAATGGCTGCGCTGATCCAAGGCAGGAGGAGACGGCCGTCCCCTCGGCCGCGCCAGGCTCCCTCCCCACTTGGCTCTCCGGGAAAGCCCGGCTGTGCCCGTTTGCCTCCTCCTGGCCACGTGGCTCTCAGCCGGTGCCATCTCTGGTCTGGGCACGAAGGCGTGCTGGACCCCTGCCGGCCATTCTGGACAGGCCTCCCCCGCCAGAGTGGACAATGGAGGCGGTGTTAGCTGCGTGACATATCTAAGGTAGAGGTGTCCCACCTTGGCCACTTCAAGACCGGTGGAGTCAACTCCCAGGATTCCCCCAGCCCGCTGGCTGAGGAATTCTGGGAGTTGAAGTCCATAAGTCTTGAAGTGGCCAAGGCTGGACATCGCTGGTCTAAGGCAACGTTTTGCATGCTGGCTGGGGCATTCTGGGAGTTGAAGTCCATAAGTCTTGAAGTGGCCAAGGCTGGACATCGCTGGTCTAAGGCAATGTTTTGCATGCTGGCTGGGGCATTCTGGGAGTTGAAGTTGTTAGGAATAAATTTTTAGAATAAAAAGTAAAGTTAAGTGACACGTACTCTGTAAAATTTCTACACGCAGACAGTAAGATTTCTACACAAAATTTCTACACGTAGACTGCAAGATTTCTACACAATTTCTACATGTACACGTACCTTGGAAGAGTTCTGCACGTAGGCTATAGGATTTCCACACTGAGCTATAGGATTTCATGATAAAGTACACATAAGGGAACAGGTGAAGCAAAATAGTAAGGGGCAGGGATAATGTATTTTGTTTAGGCGGCTCTGATAAGATTGTAACCTCAGAGGAGGGGGCCAAGGCGTCGGGGTAGAATGTATATAATGTGTGTCTTTGTTGTGACTAGGGGTGGCTCAAATATTTATTTGGAGTCCACCACGCTTTGCAAACCGTTGTATCCAATAAATCTCTGTCTAATTTCAACTTGCTGTTTGGTGTTATT